CTTGCATGGCAAGATCATCAACTAACTCTTTGAAGATGTCGCCTCGGGACACAAAGTCAGTCTCACAATTCACTTCAATAAGGACCCCGATTCTGCTGTCATGTATGTAAGAGCCAACTCTTCCCTCAGCTGTTGCTCTGCCGGCCCTCTTGTCAGCAGCCGCCAACCCTTTCTTTCGTAGGAATTCTTGAGCTTTATCAATGTCACCTGCTGTTTCAGCAAGAGCCTTTTTGCAGTCCATCATGCCTGCTCCAGTTGCCTCACGCAATTGCTTGACAAGGGCAGGAGAAATAGTGGCTGCTCAAGCGCAGAAAAGATTATCAAAATCTTCCTTGTGCTGTCTTAGCAATGGTTTGTCAACAAATTGCAATATGCGGTGAACTTTTACTAAGGAAAATGCAGGGTACAGCATGTCCACAAAGGAGATTGAAGTAATTATAAGAAATGAAAAATCAAGATGCAAGACTTTATTATCACTCTTAATTGGCACAAATTCAATAGACAAGTTACAGAATTATGTTTCAGGGTTACATTGTCCAATTAACAAAAATCGACAGAAATAAAATTTTGAACCAAGCAATTACTTATTTCAAGAAACACTGTGGTAGGCCAAGCTATAGGACTTCATATACCATCAGGAAGTGAGTCTTGTCTCCATTTAAAGCGTCAGCAGACAAGTAACATGTTTTTGTCTTATAAAAATAGTATGAGCAAAACTATGCAGCTGACATGTCACAAGAAACATAAATCAAAGAAAAAAATATTTGCAAATGTGGAGAAATGATTGATCTAAAGAATACATTAGAAGGTGAGATGAAAATGAACTATGTATGATCTTGTAGAGACAAAAAAAATAACAACCAGATCAACCCTTTTGGCTACCAGGGGCAGAACTCAAGGATTGGTACCAATGTGTGAAACAACCATGTAACAAAAAATTAAATTGAGAGTAACTGGAAAAAACAGTAGCTTAAACAGGTTTCTTGCAATCTATTATAGCATCCACTATTCTATTCTAATTAGGCAGCGTTGCTTCTTCAAGAGGCTTTTACAGATAAGGCGTGGCTTATCAGAATATTGCATGTCAAAGCCTTTAGGGGATACCATCACTGACTCACTGATAAAATTACTACAGACCTGTCGTGGTGCTTGTTTGTGCAACTCCAGTAGCAGCAGCAGCTGGTTCTTTCTCCACCTCGCTACTTGCAGTTACAAGGACCTCTTCAACTGCTGAAGATTCTTCAGGTTCAGCAGGTTTCTCCGCAGTTTCTGAAACTGAAGACACACTAGTGCTATCTGGGACCCCGTTGGAGGACAGTTCAACACTAATTACAGGTGAGCTTTCAGATTCTACAGTTTGGTCCTCAGCAGCAGTTGCCACAGAACTAGAATCCTCGATTCCCACCTGAGAAGAGGGATCAGATACAGGAGCAGGAACACCAGTTGCTACTTCTGACACAGAGATCAATTCTTCGCTACTTTCCTCAGCAGTTGCTTGTACTTCCGGCACATTTGTCTTTTCCCTCTGATCCAAGAATGCAGAGATCTCCTTGTTCCTACGGAAAGCCAACTCGAACGCATTGGTCCCTCTGGACCAGTCCCGCTTAAGCTCCATGTTTAGCGTCTTCAGATCGTCTTCATCATCTTCCACCCCTTTCATCGTCAAAGTGGCCTGACCTTGTGCTACATTCAGTACTTTAACCCTTATCTGTTTACCAACTTCCATTGCAGATTGTCCAATAAGGGTAAACAATGCCAGTGCTTCCTCTTCTCTGGGAAGGAATCCTTCACTCCCATCAGGCAATGTCACAAATGTCCCTGCTCTCGTCGTACTTTTCACAGTGCCATTAAGAGACTGCCCTGGTACATACTTTGCCTCGACCGTCTCCTTGGCTTCCTGCCTTTCCCTTGTTTGCCTTGGAGTTGCGGTGGCACTGCGCCCACCATTTGCAGCCATAGGTGTTTCTTTTTTAGGCTTGACGTAGTCATCACCTTCCCTCATCGTCAGAGAGATACGCTTCGTTTCCTTATTTGCTTCAAGCAACCTGACTGACACCTCTTGTCCAACAGTGAAGAGGGAAGATATATCTTTTACAAACCCATCACTTACTCTGGAGATATGAACAAGGCCTTCTGTATATGCTCCAATGTCAACGAAAACTCCAAATGGCTTGATAGACATCACCTTCCCAGTAAAAGATGCGCCAGGCACCAGATCCTCCTCATTCAGCGGAGGCATCTCGCTCTTCCGAATGTTGCGTCCCAACTTGCGAGGAGAAGAAGCTTGTCCCGTGCTAGCCTCGGCCTGCTCGCTCGCTTCGACGGCGTCAGGTGCGGCCTCAGAGTTTTCATCTGAAGTTTCCGGATTTTGATCCTCCACCGTGACATCAGTCCCCACGGTCGCCGCGGACAGGGTTCTTGGCCTCTGGGCAGAGGACCAGCTTCTTCTCTTGTAGATACTGATCAGGTGGAACGCTGTCTGTGGCTGCAGCGGTCTCTGAGGCGACGGCGATGCTACTCTCGAGTACCTCGCCGAGCCCTGGAACCTTCTTATTTGGATTTCTCGGCTGATCCTGAAGCTTCCGATGTGAAACAGGCTGATATTGCCAACGGAGCAATGACTCACTGGAGTCATTTTGAATCAAGGGAATGAGGTATCCAGAATCTCAGTCCCTTCAGAACCCTGCGCAGCAGAGGTAAGTCGTTAGAGAAAATAATGCAAGGAGGTCCTTGTTAATACCATCATGTTTGTGGGAAATAAATAGATAGAGCATGCCACCTACAGCAAGTATTCCTACCAAACAAAAATTGAAAACCGCATGGGACTTTAAGCATAAGGCATCATTGCTTCACTGCACAAGAGTAGCATTTCAAGCATAGTACCAACCAAACAAGAATGCTCTCTTGATCTATGTTCAGGCTCGGGAAGAAGTGAAGAAGTTGCTTATGTTCATTCATACAGGCAAAGCGCAAACTGAATTCAATCTACACCTCACCCCCTAGGCCCTGGAAAGCTTGATGACACATAGCACTCGCTATAAACGAAAGCTGTCGATTGTGAACACGAACATCAGAATATGGTGGTGATATTGGAGCCAAACAGGACTCCCGACGAAATGTACATGGCTACCCAACCAAGCAACAGACAAAACATCTCACACTGCCTACAGGAAACGACGCGGCTGCCTGACGGCACGAAACGAATCCCCATCCTGCCGCCGGCGCCGCGTCACCCCCGCACGGCCGCAGCCCGGCGTCGCACATCGCCCAGCCCAGCCCCGTACGACAGGAACGGAAGGGAAAGGGGCGGCGCACCTATTCGTCGCCGTCGCCGGCGAAGCGCAGAGGGAGGAATGCCTCGCCCGCCCCCAGTCAGTCGCCGCTACGGCCCTGGGAAGGGAGAGGATTGGCTTATCGCGAGAGCCGTTGGATTTATAGTCTTATCCCGAAGCTGCTCAGGAGTCAGGAGGGAAGGGAACGAAGCGAGGTTGCTTTCGAGGAGAGGGGAGACGAGAGGATGTGGTTCTGGCAAAGGCAAGCCGGCCTTCTGGTTCTGGGCTACGGCGCGACTCGTGTCCCAACCCCAGCTTGGTGAAAATTGGAGAAGGTGGGAAAAAAACTCGGCCTTTTCTTTCTCTGCTTGATGATGATGGAGTTGGACGATGGTAGACTGACTGAGACTCAATACTAGTTACTTGCATGGTCCCTGGTGACTGGTGAGTGGTGAATGATTTTCCTATTCCCTTGTTCACAGATCAAAAGAGTTAAGGTCATAGAGTATACTCACCACGAGAAAGATAAAACTAAGATGAGCAACCTCTAGCCAAGTTGGGCAACCAAATGTAATCATTGTTTTTCATGAGCCACCCGACCCGCTCGGGGGGGACTGATTTGACTCGACCTGATGTCGTCTGCAATGAAAAAAGGGAAAAAAAAAGAGCAGGATGGACCTGCCTAAAAGTGGAAATTGGAAACTAAACGGACTGGTTTTAACATGCTTCTAGCTTCTAGCAAGGATTTCTTTTTTTGGAGTGGAGACAGTGGACAAATGTCATGGCACAAATAGTAACCGCTTTTTCAGAACCCTGCACCTGCACGTTGAAGGCACAGTGCGGAAGTTATTCATCAAAATTAACTGCATCAGACGGCAGGGTAAATTAATTTGTTGAAACTGGTGATCAGACACGAAATGCATGGTTGCAGATAGCACGTTGATTGATCTTAACTAAACAAATCAGAAATATCTCTTCAGATTTGGAAAGGTTGTCATCTACTCATCTGAGCATTAATCTGACAGTCGCACCTGACCAAGCGACCAGACTCTCCATAAGAATGAAACCTTTGTTATACACGAAAGATTCTTCAGAGTGTATGCCAAGAGGCAAGAGATGTTCCTGGGAGATCTTCCATCTACTCGCCACGCTTGATGGCCAACAACATAAGAAAGGAGCAACCATCGTGCTGCGTAGAGAGTCGTCACTGTTTGTCAAAAGGAACCAGAATTACGCCCTGTTCATTTAGGCTGGTTTGGCTTATACTCTCTACGAACAAGAGTATAAGCCCTCACACCAAACTACGCTAGTTTGGCTTATACTCTCACACAGAATTGCGCCATGTGAGAGTAAGTCATAGCTAAATGTACCATTCGCTAGTTTGGTGAGAGAGAAATACTGTTTATTGACTGATAAGCCATGACTTATAAGCAAGATACGAACCAGAGTTTATTGATTGCTCACGAGTCCGAACGTGGATTTGACGACGAAACGGTCAAACGGCCGAGCTCCTTCCTCTTCAGTTTCTTCATCACACGTCAGTGGAGCTGGGCTGGCAATGGCAAAACTTTTTCTCAATCTTTTCCATTAAAAAACCGTAAAGGTTTGGGTTACTAAACGAGCACCCTCGCCGGCGCCGCGACCTTCCTCTCAGGGTCAGGTTCAGGCTTTCAGCTCTCACATCACAATCACATCCAGTCCAAGCCAAGGCCGCACCCCAACCCGGCGATGGAAATGGAATCCGCCGCCGTGGCCATCGTGACGGTGCCGTTCCCGGCGCAGGGCCACCTGAACCAGCTGCTACACCTGTCCCTGCTCCTCGCCGCGCGGGGGCTCCCCGTCCACTTCGTGGCGCCGGAGCCGCACCTCCAGGAGGCCCGCGCGCGCCTGCACGGCTGGGACGGCACCCACCCCGCGGCGGTGCGCTTCCGCGCGCTGGACGTGCCCGCGCACGAGTCCCCCGCCCCGGACCCGCGCTCCCCTTTCCCGGCGCACATGCAGCCGCTCTTCGAGGCCTACTGCGCCGGCGCGCGGGCCCCGCTGGCCGCGCTCCTGGCGGAGCTCGCCGCCACCCACCGCCGCGTCGTTGTCCTCCACGACCGCATGGCGGCGTTCGCGGTGGCCGAGGCCGCGCGCTTGCCCAGCGCCGAGGCCCTCGGCGTGCACTGCCTCGCCGCCTCCTACAACGTCGGGTGGGCGGACCGGGAGCACGCCCTGCTGCGCCGCCACGGCCTCGTGTTCCACCCGCCCGACGCCTGCGCCACCCCGGAGTTCGTCGCGCTCGCCAGGCGGATGGGGCAGGAGCGCCGGCATGGTCGTCAGCACCTGCCACGCGCTCGAGGGCGACTTCCTCGACGCGCTGCAGGGCATCCCGTCCTCCAACGGCCAAAGGCTGTTCGCCGTCGGGCCTCTCAGCCCGGTGCTCCTCCCCCTCCCCGGCGCCGGTGTCGGCGCGGGGAGCGGGACTGGGAGCGGGAGCTCGCGGCGGCACGAGTGCCTGGACTGGCTGGACGCGCAGCCGCCGTGGTCAGTGCTGTACGTCTCGTTCGGCACGACGTCGTCGCTGCGCCCGGAGCAGGTGCGCGAGCTGGCCGCCGCGCTGCGGGACAGCGGGACGCGCTTCGTGTGGGTGCTGCGCGACGCCGACCGCGCGGACCTGCGCGGCGGCGGGGAGGAGGGGGACGCCGCTGCCGAGACCCTCCGCGCCGCCGCGGCGTCCGAGCTCGGCCCCGACGGCCCTGCCGCCGGCGTGGTGGTCACCGGGTGGGCACCGCAGCTGGAGATCCTGGCGCACGGTGCGACGGCGGCGTTCATGAGCCACTGCGGGTGGAACTCCACCGTGGAGAGCCTCAGCCACGGGAAGCCCATCCTGGCGTGGCCCATGCACAGCGACCAGCCCTGGGACGCCGAGCTCGTCTGCAAGTACCTCCGCGCCGGCGTGCTCGTGCGCCCCTGGGAGCGCCGCCACGACGTGACCCCCACAAACGCGATCCGCGATGCCATCGACAGGGTCTTGACTCGGAGGAAGGCGGGGAGATCCGGCGCCGGGCGGCCGCGCTCGGAGAGGCCGTCCGCGGCGCCGTGGCCGAGGGCCCTGGACGAGCTTGTCGCGTACTACGTGACGAGGTGATCGATGGTCCGTGCGGTGACTGTGCCGCGTTGTGGCGTGGTGCTGTCTGCATTAACCATTTGATGCTACTCGTATTTGTTAAGCACACTCTATTTGAGTGTTATTACTGAGATGAAGCCGAAGGTTTAGGCCAAGCTATGATTTTCATTTGGAAGTGGGGAGTTGGGACCTGTCAGGTGTCACTTGTTGACTTAAAATCGACAAGCAAGTTATGAGCTTGATGCTTGAATGTGGGACTCGAACACCGATTTGTGGATGAAAGCAACCTTTTGCACCCCAATCATTTTCTGACAACAATCTCACCAGTTTGACCAAACTTTTGTATGAGAATCACACGATAGTTTAGGAACTGATACACCAGAGTTCACCTTGACGAGAACTTTTAAACTTATAATGCAATCTAGATGTACTCTCTCCAATCCAAATTATAATACTCAATCCATCTCAAATTATAAGACGTTTGACTTTTTTTTTACATCAAGTTTGACCACTTCTCTTATTCAAAAATTTGTGCAAAATATCACTTCTTTTATCGTGGCTTGGTTTATTAATAAAAGTTCTTCAAGAATGACTTAAATTTGACTATGTTTGTATAATTTTTTTTAATAAGACGAGTGGTTGAACTTAAGGTTAAAAAATCAAACGTCTTATAATTTAGAATAGAAAGAGTACATTTTGCTTTTTTTAGTAAAAATTATGAATCTAAAGAAGCTCTGTGTGAGTGTGACAATGAGACAAAAGGCTAGAAAGAGCTGTATTTCTTTCTTCTTCTTTTTTCTCTCTGACTTTGATTGTGATGGAGAGAGATTTCAAAGGCTGTTCATGCGTCTTATAGGATTTGACAAGTTCGCAAGCTTTTCATGGATAGTTTCTTCCAGGTTCTTTTCCTTTTCCTCAATTTTTTTTTCTCTTCTTTTTTACCCATACGAAAAGTGCTGAATCAGCTCTAGCTATCCTGTACGAGGTGCATCGGTCCGTATATCGCTCGAGCGGTCATCCACTTTGTGATCTTAGGTTTTGTTGTCAAGATTTATGCAATTTTGTGTCAAATATTTGTTATGCTGTACGGGTAAAAAAAAAGGTAAGTGTTTATAGCTCCTTAAGTCTGAACACATCGACTTGTTGCTTATAGTTACCGCTGGTTTACATAAAAAAAACTACTCCATCTATTCCAAATTATAAGTCATTCTAAGAATTTTGGAGAGTTAAAGCATCTCAAATTTGACTAAAATTATAGAGAAAACTACACAGATTCATGACGTCAGGTATACTATGAAAATATAATTAATAAAGAATCTGTTGACATCAGATTTTGACAAAGAAGATTTAGACCTGCGGGCCCAGGTGTCAGACTCAAGCAGTCGTTTTTTTTGAAAGAACGGCTAATATTGAAAGAGATCGGCTAAGGGAAAGTACGTCAACAATTGATTCGTATCAAAGTTGAAGAGGCTAAAGACGTGTCGAACTCTCTTGAAAGGGAAAGAGTAGAGTCCAAATTATCCTTTTTTCCGTATATGTAACCAAGTCGTGTCTAACTAGGACTCGCTCCGGGCTATAAATAATGAGGCCCCGGCTATTGTAAATGATATTCACACAATCAATACAACAACCCTTCGGCTCAGGCCAAACCCTTAGGAGTAGGAGTAATGTAGCTTCGGCTGGGTGCCATCCGGTGGGCGCAGGTCAGTTATGCTTTCGATCATGTTTCGAGTACCATCCGGTGGGTGCAGGGCACGTTAGATCATAGCCGTTTCATTAAGTCGGAACACCGGTTCTTGTTTAAGCTTTGATGTCATCCGATGGACGTCTCTGTATTAAGTTGGATTGAGTGTCATCCGGTGGACGCAGATCTAACCTGGATAAGGGCTAGTTATCGGCTCTATTAGATTTGGCAATCTAGTAGATTCATTAAGTTACAGACATTGTTCATGTTTTTAATGTTTTATTTATTACAACAATATCATTGCCCAGTCAAGATTGACAGATTGCTAGCTTCAGATATCATTAAAATCTATTGTTTGTATGCTTGAATGCTTATCTCTGTTAAAACAGTCGATTCAGACTTGCATCGGCAAATCTGTCAGCCAATTTTGATTCCTCCTCAAATGAGTAAGCCTTTTAAGTTGTACGTAGCAGCCGATAGCCTTACAATTAGATCGGTCTTGATGCAAGAATTTGAAGGAAAAGAAAGAGTAATTTTCTATTTAAGCAGAAGGCTTCTGGATCTAGAAACTAGGTATTCTCCTATTGAAAAGTTATGTTTATGCTTGTATTTTTCTTGCACCAAGCTTCGACATTATCTGTTGTGTTCTGAGTGCACAGTGGTGTCTAAACACGATGTCATCAAGCATATGTTGTTGATGCCTATTTTGAATGGGAGAATTGGGAAGTGGATTCTTGCATTATCAGAATTTGATTTGAGGTATGAATCGGCTAAAGCAGTTAAAGGGCAAGTGATAGCCGATTTCATTACTCATCACCATGGAAAAGAAGTTTTTGTGTTGGTAGAGTTGACTCCTTGGGTCTTATTCTTTGATGGATCAACCTGCAAACAAGGTGGTGGAGTTGGTATTGTTTTGATTTCGCCCCAAGGAGGAATTTTTGAATTTGCTTTTCCTATAGAGCCAATGTCTACCAATAATCAAGCTGAATATGAAGCTATTCTTCAAGGACTTAAGCTTCTATGTGAAGTAAAGGCTGAGTGTATTGAAATTTTTGGAGATTCTTTATTGATTATTAATCAATTGCCCGGCCTGTATGAGTGCAAGGATGATATTTTGAAGAAATATTATGAAGAATGCCGTAGGTTGCTTGATTGTTTTTCTTCTGTTGTGATTAAGCATATTCCCAGGAGTCATAATCAAGAGGTTAACAAATTAGCTCAGAGTGCTTCTGGGTATCGGCAAATTTGTGAAATTTTGAGTAATAACCGCATTGATGAAATCAAAGATTGGAGGACTGAGATTATCAAATATTTAAAGGATTCGTTGCAAAGAGTGTCTAGAAAATTGAGGTATAAATCTATTAAATTTGTTCTCCTTGATGATCAGCTATATTACAAGACAGTCGATGGTGTGCTGCTCAGATGTATTAATCAAGAAGAAGCCAAAGTATTGATGGGAGAAATACATGAGGGTGTTTGCGGCGCACATCAATCAGCTCACAAGATGAAATGGATGATCAGGAGAGCAGGTTATTTTTGGCCAACTATGTTGGAAGATTGCTTTAAATATTATAAGGGTTGTCAAGACTGTCAAAAGTTTGGCAATGTGCAAAAATCTCCAGCATCAGCTATGAATCCAATTATGAAACCATGGCCGTTCAAAGGTTGGGGAATAGATCTGATTGACCAAATTTATCCTTCATCGAGTAAAGGGCATAAGTTTGTATTGGTAACAACTGACTATTTCACTAAGTGGGTTGAAGCAATTCCTCTAAAAGTGGCTTCATCGACTAATGTGATTGAGTTCATCAAAGAGCATATTATTTATAGATTCGGGATCCCTCAATCTATAATAACTGATCAAGGGAAGATGTTTACGTCCAAAGAGTTTGAAGATTTTGCTGCCAGTACAGATTTTAAGTTAATGAACTCATCTCCATATTATGCTCAAGCTAATGGGCAAGCGAAAGCATCAAATCAAATTTTGATTAAGCTAATTAAGAAAAAGATTCATGAGAATCCAAGGAGTTGGCATACGATTCTTAATGAAACACTCTGGTCTTATCGGATGGCTTGTCATGGATCCACTAAATGCTCACCATATGAGTTGGTTTATGGGCATGAAGCTGTTTTACCATGGGAGATTAATATTGGTTCAAGAAGGGTATTGCAGCAAGATGAGTTAAAAGCCCATGATTATAAAAGCCTTATGATGGATAATTTGGATGATTTGAGTTTTCATCGGCTAAAGGCTTTAGAGAATATTGAAGCACATAAGCTTAGAATTGCTAAGTATTATAATAAAAAAGTAAGAGAAAAGAAGTTTAGTGACGGGGAGCTAGTTTGGAAAGTTATTTTGCCGATTGGGACCAAAGACAGCAAGTATGGAAAATGGTCACCAAATTGGGAAGGACCTTATCGGATTACTCGGAGTGTTTCTGGCAATGCTTACTACTACGAAACTTTGGAGGGAGAAAAGTTTTCTAGAGCAATCAATGGAAAGTTTTTTTAAGAAATATTACCCTATCATTTGGGTGGATTTACTATAACCGATTGCCGTATTGCATCGGGCTCTAACAGCCGATACGTGAGTATCGCCTCTAGCAGAAAAGGTGAGAAGCAGCTTTGACAAAAAGCAACAGCCGATGCGATATGTATCGCCTTTAGAGCAAAAACCCATAAAACCAAAAGCATATAGATAAAATTAAATTCCGATCCAGCGGAGACATTATGCAATAGGAGTTTAAACAGGCACACATATTACAAGTTTTGAGGCCATTTGCCTAGGGTTTACTATAGAAGAGAGGCGGTTTTGGCCGAGGAAAAGAAGGAACTGGAAGCAAGAGCAAATGAAATCTATGAGTCTTTTTCTCGGAACCGTCGGCTGTATTTATGATCCTAGAAGCTGAAGGGACGCGACCAGTGATGCATTCTAATTAGTCAAACTGGTCCAAGCAGTACAGACCCGAAAATTTTTATTAACCAGGGATTTGGAATCCGGCCTGAAGCGGCACAGGATGGATCGGCTAAGTTTGCCGATAGAATTTTTGCCGATGCAATGAGAATTGTTTTGGATAAAAAGATCGGCTAGATTTGCCGATAAGTTAAACAAACGGAGATTCAGAGGCATAGTTGATAACCACGAGTGTATGCAACAGTAAAGTCAAGGTTTACATGATAAAGTTTTGCACATAATGATTACATGTCCAGCATAGACTTAATTAGATCAAGGGCTCTAAGGCATACATTATCTACATCAGCAATTTGCTGTTTGTCTTCTTCAGCTGTCCCTGGCACTTGGGTTTTCTTCTTGATCTTGATGCTTTGAAGCTCGGAATTAAGGTTTGACATCAGTTTCTTTTGCTCAATCAATGATGTTGGAATTCTTGCTAGATTTTCTTCCTCATGTTTGATAGAAGCTTCAACAGTCCTCAGTCTAGACAGCAGTTGTTCTTTTTTTTCATTAAGGGCTGTCAGTTTTTGGATGATCTTGATAGGAGAATCTTTCAACTGATCAATTATCTTTTTGACTGATATCATATTTTTAACACATTGCTGTTCTTGAACTGGCAAAGTCTTCTGAGCTTCACGTGCTGCAAGCCTTAATTGAGCTCCAGAAAATCTTGGTTCATGGAACTCGATAAAGGCAACTGGTTTGAGGATTTCTGTCAATTGAGGAGGGAGCTCATTCTTGATTGAGTTGAAAATATTCCTGATAGCTTCTGCGTCTTGCACCAAGACTGCTGTGTCTGTTTCTAGATGGGGTATCAACAGTTGAAGTTGGCCCTTGACATTTTCAGACAGAGGAGGTATAGCAGTATTCTTGGAAACAGAAACAACCTCTTCTTCTGTATAATCTTCTAGTGCAAATGGGATATAAGGAGAAGAGCTTTGCTCCTGCATGAATAAGAGTTAGGAAACAGAGAGGATTATTTTCAAGAAGTATTTTATGGTACCTGTTCATCTTGAAGTACATTTTGATCAGGAACAGCCGATGAGCTTGCCAAAGATTGAGTTTCTGTAAAATATTTTATCAGGTAAAACAATTATTGATTGAAATTAAGTTTATCGGCTAAATTTTTATCACTTGAGATATGTTCTGGAGATTCACTGGGGTTGTCATTCACATCTCTTTCACTGGAAGAAGATGGGATATTCAGTGAGTCAGGTTGAGATTGTTCTTCTTCAAGGTCAGAATTTCTTGTGGTAACCTGTTCAAAGAAAAATTAGTTGATGAAGTATCAGAAAAAGGATTTGAGAAGGGTAATACCTTGGTTGCAGCATCAGCTAATGTTTTTAAATCAGCACTCAGAATAAATACCTCTTGAGGTTTTGTTTGGCTGATCTTGATCTTTTTAGCCAGTCCTTTGGAAAGGCCAGTTCCTTTATAAATAAAAGAAGAGATTGGCTGATCATCAGGAGCGTCATTAATAATTTTCCTCTTCATCACTGTCTTCAAAGTTGGAGCATCCCAGCCTAGCCTTGGGAATGGGCACCATTGTTGATAAGCAACTTCTGGTGGTGATAGTTCGACAAGATCCTATAAGGAAAATTTATGTGAGGAGTCTGTCCATAAAATCAAAGTAAAAGAAAAGAGAAAGGGGGATACCTCAGGATTTGCTTGAAAACCAGGTTCCAAAGTAAAACAACAAGAGGATACTGATGAGCTAAACAAGTGTTGGCGCCATTCTTGCCACCAAGCATCAAAGGCAGTAGATGAGAAGGGTTGGCAGTCCCATTCTGTAATGGTTTCAGCAGAAAGAACTTGTTCAAATTGCAGAATTTTGTTGAATTACACTCCTGAGGACACTGCTTCCCTTGGTTTCAGTTTATTGGCAAAAAAGAGTGCTGGAGGGAGCTGACCAAATCCCATTTGCCTAGCTGCTATTGAAGGGCAATGAAATTCATATGAAATTGGTGGTTTTTCTCTACCATGCCTAACCTCTATTGGTAGTAAGCAAGGTTTGATCATACAATTTAAGATTTTTAATGAATCGACATTATTGTTCTCAGACTGAAATCTAAAAGAGAAAGGCAGCTCGAATTCTGGGATGTCAGAATACACAAACCATTCCAAAATTTCCTCAGGAAAGCCTTTGTAGAATAGTTTGAAAAAGTAACTGATGGATCCATCAATTGAAATTGCCGATGCTGCTTCACCAAAAGACATGCATCGGCGAGTCTTATTATCAGGTAGCTGTTTCTCTTGTCCTTCCAGAAAGGTCAAAGATGGGAATTTCAGAGATTTCAGATCTTGAATCACAATTTTCTGCATATGGAGATTGAGCCAAAGTTGCAACAACCACCAAGGACCAGTAATAGTAGGAATTGTCTCATTCTTCATTAGGTGTTGAGACACTTGATTCAATAAGTGATACAAAGCACCCAGTAAATATTTACCAAGAGGCACTTCAGAATCTACTGCTATTTTCTCTGCTAGTACTTGATAGTTGAATGTTGGGGAGCAAGTTTGTCCACAGAAGACATACCTATCAAGCCACATATTTAAGAAAGCTGCATGCTCTCTGTCATCCACATTTTTCTTGGCAGTATGGTGGGTGGTAATATAACTGGACCAGCCTCCAGACCTCGTGCTTTCAAATTTATAAGAAGGTTTGATCAAGAAGTTGTGAGGAGTAGCTGTTCCTGTGATATTGAGGCCGGTTAACATATGGGTGTCAGCCAGAGTTGGAGTCATGGGTCCATGGCTAAAAAGGAAGGCATTGTATGTGCTGGACCAGAAATAACATGCTGCTTTAAGGAGGGACTCGTTCTTTTTCATATTGGACAAGGAAAGAGAAATACACTGATCTAAGTTGCGGAGAGTCCACTGTGCTTGCCTCTTGGATGCAATTTTTACAAACCAATTCCTCCAACCTGAAATAATAGGCGGCCAATTTCTAAAAGAAGCCTTTTTGTCCCAATCCTCAGAGTTCATAGTGGCTTGTTTGAAAGGAATTCTGTTGGTTTCGGCGATAATTACTTCAGATGGATCCGGATTACCCATTGGACCAAGAAAGAAACTGCTTGAGCTGTTGGCTATCGGTATTACAATCTTATTCTTGAGTTCCTAAAAGCAAGATAAAGAGGGCGGAAAAGAGGAGCTTAAAATATGCTTGATAGCAAACAAGGGAATTAAGAACAGGCAATTACCTCAGGGATGCTCTCGATTGATGCCATTTCCGCCAGGACTGCTTAGGGTTTGCTTCTTCTATTGAAAAATGCTTCGAGTAATCTTCGATTTGCTAGGGTTTCAGCAGGGGCGGCGCTCGAGTGTTCTGGAAAGAGGGTTAGGGTTAAGGGCCGATGGCAGATTGGTAAATATGTTAAATGGATCGGTTGAACGACAAAAGAGGCAAAGTCTAATAATTTTGGAATAAAACCAGTTTTATCCAAAAATTGGGGGCATGTGTTGACACCAGATTTTGGCAAAGAAGATTTGTACCTGCGGGCCCAGGTGTCAGACTCAAGCAGTCGTTTTTTTGGAAAGAACGGCTAATATTGAAAGAGATCGGTTAAGGGAAAGTACGTCAACAATTGATTCGTATCAAAGTTGAAGAGGCTAAAGACGTGTCGGACTTTCTTGGAAGGGAAAGAGTAGAGTCCAAGTTATCCTTTTTTCCGTATATGTAACCAAGTCGTGTCTAACTAGGACTCGCTTCGGGCTATAAATAATGAGGCCCCGGCTATTGTAAATGATATTCACACAATCAATACAACAACTCTTCGGCTCAGGCCAAACCCTTAGGAGTAGGAGTAACGTAGCTTCGGCTGGGTGCCATCCGGTGGGCGCAGGTCAGTTATGCTTTCGATCATGTTTCGAGTACCATCCGGTGGGTGCAGGGCATGTTAGATCATAGCCGTTTCGTTAAGTCGGAACACCGGTTCTTGTTTAAGCTTTGATGTCATCCGGTGGACGTCTCTGTATTAAGTTGGATTGAGTGTCATCCGGTGGACGTAGATCTAACCTGGATAAGGGCTAGTTATCGGCTCTATTAGATTTGGCAATCTAGTAGATTCATTAAGTTACAGATATTATTCATGTTTTTAATGTTTTATTTATTACAACAATATCATTGCCCAGTCAAGATTGACAGATTGCTAGCTTCAGATATCATTAAAATCTATTGTTTGTATGCTTGAATGCTTATCTCTGTTAAAACAGTCGATTCAGACTTGCATCAGCAAATCTGTCGATCTTGATTGTTACATGTCGAGCTATCTGTGCGATTATAGATTGGTTTAGAGTTAAAATAGGTTTGATCTGGTGTCTATGGCTGCATGGAGACACCCCACTGTCAGGATTATTAGACCAGGTTTGCTTTAATCTTAGATCTATTTATGATTGGACAGATAGATCTCGTTTGTGCTTCATGGACCCGGTATCGGCTAAATAGCCGATCCAGTTATGCTTGTACCCATAACGTGTACGCATGTATCAGTTTAGAACTAATAGATCTATTGAGCATGTTGGACGTAATTTAGCTTGTTTACTATTATGGCTGTATGGAGACACCCCACTGTTAGTAATTAAGTTTCTTTGTCGATCTGGTTGTTATTATGGCTGCATGGAGATACTCCACTGTTAGCAATTAGTAACTCAGCATGTTTAATCGATTCGTTGGCTTTAGATTGATTATTGTTATGCATGTAGGATTTTATACCCATATCAACTAAGTTAGATCGGCTGATTATTTGTTCTATTTACTGTATATCTGAATAGTCGTTCTAATATTACCATTATTAGCATATGATTTACATTGTTAGGAGTTGACTTTTTAGTCAATTTCCTTTGACTATCGGCTATCTTATGGCCATATATTTTGGAACTGTCTGACAACAAACCGGCACGTTTCACAATTTGATATTTTCTTTCTCCTTGTCAATTGCAGGGTCAAATTGACTGGCACGCCTTAGCTCGTTCTCACCCCATCCGGTTGGCTTGAGGCTTAGGGAATCTCGAAGTCTTTTGCTTCATACGATCCTGCAGGCCTCCCAAGTGTGTTGGCATAGGAGCATATTTTTTTTGTGTCAACAGAATCTAATCTATATCTATACCTAATAATTAAGAGGCAAAATTTTCTCTATTTTTTTTGTCCATCTCCGTCTAACTACCGGACAACGAAGAGTTTCTTCCGTCCAAACTTATATATATAACCCGTACTCATATAAGTTAGAATCATGATCTAAATAGATCTAATCATGTTTGATATTGAATCCTAATTCTAATCTAAATAGGAAAGAAAAATATATCCCTAAAATTTCTGGCACTAAAATTTTCGTCCACCTCTAATCTCCTTCAGCGTTACGGTCTTTTTCCATATCCGTTAGTTTCTGCTCTTTCCCTCCTTCCCTCCGTGTCTTTTCAACCGCAGTTCGTCCAAGGACGGTTGCACCCTCCATCGCGGGACCTGATCAGTGGCCTCGGCGACCACCTGTGCAAAAAAATGCATCCAACTCTCGTTATATATCTCTACTATATACGCCGCCCTCTGTAGCACGCGCAGGCGAACAAACGCCTGAACGAGGTGCTGCTGCCTGGTGCCCAGGCGCGCCTACGCGATGCAGAACACGAGCACGCCGGCCAGCTCCACCATGCCGACGGTGCCCTTGAAGCGGGTGCTCTGACAGTGACCATTGAGCCAACGGGTGGCCTGGAAGACAAAGGACGTGTGCCTGTAGGAGCCATAGGTTGCCGCAGAAGCCAATGAGGAGGCAAGCTTCTCCTCCTGATTTGCACCGGACAAATCCTGCTTTGCCCGGCTCGGTGGCTCCCTCACGCTCCCGTAGGCCTGGCAATCGCCGCGGTCAGATCCGCACCCACGCGCATCGTGCAACCACGGCCGGCGCAAGTGAGGCCGATGAGAGGCATGGGGAGGGGAGGAGGTGCCGCGGTGGCGCGCGGAGGAAGCGGAGCGAGGGCTCAGCGGTGGGGGAGGGAGGCGCAGGCAAGTGCGAGCGTTAGGGGCGGGGCGGGGCCGAGGCGGGCGAGCAGTGCCATACTGTCGTGTTGGGGCGTGTTCGGACGCCCGCTGGTGATTGTGCATGACGGGGTTCGGGAACCGACGGCGAGGAGACGAGGAGGCCGGCTTGCCTCCTCCGGGCGCAGCTAGGGCGGGCTTCCTTCGTGCGCAGCAGGGAAGGAGTGGTCGGAGGCGTCGAGAGGGATGGAAGCGATGAAGCCGTGTGCAAGGAGGAGACTTCGGGACTTCTCGGTCTGGTCTTCGGGATAAGGTAAGAGAAGTCGAGAAGGAAATCAAACAAGGTAAACACGAGAGTCCATAAAAAAAACAAGGTAAACACGAGAGAGAAAATAATGAAGAGAGAAAAAAATAATGAAGAGAAAAAAAATAATAAAGAGAGAAAACAATAAGGATTCCTTCTGGGTTTTTTTCTTTTGTGTTCCATACGTCGTGGTTCTTTTTGTGTTTTTCACCCATTGGGTTTTCTGTTTCGGAATTATTTCCTCCTGTTTTTTCTATCCTATTTTTTTTTTTGTTTTTCTTTTTCCTTTTTTTGTTGTGCTTGGTTTTTTGTCCAATTTTTTCCCACACGTTCCGCTATGCCTGTGGTCCTTTTTTCATAATAAACATAAAAAATAAATAATAAATAAGGTCACTATTAATTTTTCTCTACAAAAAAATCATCACTATTGTTGATGTAGTATTGATTACCAACAAAATTTGTTTTCATTAAAATCAAAATCAATCAATAGTCCATGAACTAAATCTTGATCAATTTGTTGTTTACAGTTTGTTGTCTAATTCAGTCTAAATTGTCCATGAATTAAATCAAGAGAGGTCTCCAGTCATAATGATCTGCGCACAAACCAATCCTTGACATGTCGGTAATTAACTCCTTGCAGACTATAATTAAATATTGGGAAATTTTGCTATTGGACATGCCAAATGACGCGTCTTTGCTGGCGGACACTGCGTTTTCCATCTTTTGCCGTGAGACACTCTGGTTTTTGGAAATACTGCCAGTGGGCACCGCAACCCAGTTGCACCCGGTTTTGGAGAGAGAAAACTTCGTTTTGGACATCGGGTGCCCCTGAACCAGATTTGGCGCCGTCCCAACCTGGTCTGGTTCGACCCAGTTGAACGACCGGCCCGTACCCGACTCCGTCGTTAGGGTTCTAGGTGCGCCATTTCCCCAATCCCGCTGCCGCCGCTCACTCCCAATCGCGCCGCCACCCACTCGTCTCCATGCTCGTCGCGCCGCCGTCCACCCAGTGCCCGCCGCTGCTGACAAATCGAGCGTCGGCCGTCATCCGCCATGGGGGTTGAGGATCTAGAGTTCCCCCGCGCCCCGAAGATGAAGTCCCCCAGCTCGAAGAACGGGCAGTGCCCTAGGTCTCTGCCTAGGGTTCCACAATTCAAATGGCTAGTGAAAGGGTGAGTCTTTTGAATCCCTACTATTTGCAGATGAATGTCTGCGAATGTGGTAGAATGCTTGCGGTTTTGAAATCGTTTAGTTTGGTTGTTATCCTTTGTGTTGATTTAGGATGGATCCGACTTTCGCATGTAGACTGGCGATTAGCGTACCTGCATATGTAGAGCAAAGACCAGATGGGCTCGATGATTATCATGTAACTACTAATTACATGCGTGTGGTAGACAAGGATAAATTCTCTTGGATGGGGTTTCTTGGGTGCCTTGGTTAGGAGATAGTCCATGGGGTCGACCAAGAACTGCAGGTCACCTTCTTTGACAAAACCAAGGATGAGACAGTGCGCATAGATTCTGATTCTGCTCTGTTACATGCATTTGATGTGTATTGGGACAGTAGGAAGGTGCCACTGACTGTACATGTTGTTGATACTGGTCCTCGTTTGCTAAAGTCTAAGTGTTATAATGCCAATGCCTCTCAGTCTTCTCAGTCTGTTATTATCACTCAGGAGAGTCAGGTTAATTGTCAGCCAATAGCTATGATACTACCTAATCTAGTAGCTGATGACAATGGTGAAGCTGTTGATCTTAGTGATGATGGTAATTGTGAGGCTGATGCTAATGGTGATGAGGGTCTTAATCTTGATAATGATGGTGAAGATGATGATGCTATTGCTGAAGAAGAAGAAGAAGATATTGCTGAAGATGACTGGGGAGAGGCTGATGAAGTGGAGTATGTAGGAGTAGATGATGAGAATGAGAAGTACAAGGATGGGGTCAATGATGATG